TAATAAAAAAGGATCTAAAGTGTTAAAAAGTTAAACTTATATTATTATATAATATTATAATATAATTCCTCCTATTTTAGGATATTTAAACTTATTTAATAATTTAGCTAACTAATAGTAAAATAGTTAAATAAGTATTATAATTTATTAGTTAATAAATAAAAATAATTTTTTTAATATTAAATTTAATAAATATTCTAAATAATTAGAAAATAGATAATTAGTAAAGTAATTTAATTAATAAATTTATTTTTACTTTATAAGTTCTAGCCTTCTAAGTAGGCAAAGTATAAATATTATTAAATAAAGATATTTTTTAATAACTAACCCTACTAATTCTTAATTTTTATATTCATAGTACTTTTACTATATATATAGTAGTCTTTTAGCAAGAGGTTTAAATATTTAATTTAAAATAAAATTAAATATACTTTACTTAATAAGCCTATTTTAATATTATAATTAGAATATATATATTAAGAAATAAAACTAAAAAATTAAATATAGTTAAGGTAGCTATATAGAGTACTAATTTTAATAAAAGCTAATACTTTAATATAAGACTAGATAATAAAATAAGAAAAAATATTAATATTAGTATAGATCTTAAAGTTATACTTAATAAGCTTAGTATATCTATTAATTAACTATATTTAATTTAAGCTTAAAATAATAATTTTTTTTTAAATATATTATATATTATATTACTATACTTTAATATATTCTAGTTTAAGTTTTTAATATTAGTTTTAAAGAAAATTACTTTAAAATATTAGTTAAATAATAAGAAAAAAGATTAATCTACTAAGTAATAAAATACTTTTAATTAAAAAAATAAGTATATAGCTTATTTATAAGAGAATGCAGTGCGTACAAGCCTTAATAAATAATATATATAATGTAGTTAGTTGATAATAGATTGATTATAAAGCTATCTAGGAAATATAGTGAAAGTAGGGCTTATACTAAGCCAAGTAGAGCTAAGCTAAGCCTAATTAGGATATTCCTATCCTGCTTTTATTCTAATCTATAATAGTATACTACTAAAAATAATAAAAAATAACGTCCTTATTATAGATATAGCCTCAACTTTATCTATTTATATTTTAGCTCTTTAAAAAAACTATCTTAGCTTAATTTCGTTAAAATTTAGTTGAGTTTTAGCCGAGATTTAATCTTATTATATTAGGAAAAAGCCTATTTCATAGGAGGCTATAGCGATAGCAAAGTTAAGCTAATTAGAATAAGGATTATATTAGAGGGGCATATTAATATATAAAAGAAGCAATAGCAAGCGGAAGCTAATTGGTTAGAAAAGAATATTAAAAATCGGAAATAGGAAATTATTATTTTAACTAAATTTGAAAATTATAAAATTGTAAAATAACTATATAATTGAAAAACTATAGCTTAAATCGTTTAGAAATAACTTAAAAGCTATTAATAAGCTCTAAGCCGTATAAACTATAGATAGGAATAAGAATAAGAATAGCCTATTTCTTAAACTATTTTATATAGGTTTTAACCTTAAAAGCCTTTTTTAAATAGGGAGCCTATTTTCGCTTTTTCTTTGCATTGTATCTAAGCTCTTTAATTAGCTAGTTCTTTAGCTTATTTTTTTAAACTGTAATTAAAGGAGTTAGAGGAAGCTTATCTATAAACTATTTTTTAAAGTTATTTTATATAAAAGTAGGTAAAACGATTAGCTATAGGGGCTTAATTGTTTTAAAAAAAGTATAGTGTATATAGAAGTTAGAAATTATAAAATATAATATCGGTTTAAAAGCTAAATATATAAGAGCTTAATTTTAATTTTAATAAGCTAAAGGAGGTATAGCTAAAGGTAATAACATAATAGAAGCTAATTTAGTTAGTATAAAAATAGCTACTATTTCTATATATATTAGTTTTAATAATATAGCTAGAGGAATAGTTATAAAGTAAACTTTAATAAATAAGCAATTTAAATATATTTTTTATAGTAAATAGCTAGGTTATCTTGCTACTAATTGTATTAATATAAACTATATAATAAATAGATAGCGCTATTATTATATATAATATTAGTTCTATTAGTATATATATATATCTAAATAAAGCTTGCTTTTACTATATTAGCTGCTATTAAGCTATTTTAGTAGGGTTAAAGCTTAAAAGTTTTAAAATAAGCTTAATATAAAATAAGTTTATAAATAATAGAAGAAAATATAGTAATATAATAATATCTAGCTAAAGGATTGTTAAAGATTTTAATAATAATATTTTAAAGATTTTTAATAATAGTTTTTAGTAGTTGTTGCTAGCTAGGTATTAGGGCTATAAATATAGATTTTTAACATTTAGATAAATATAACAATACTTAATCTTTTAGTATTACTACTATTTATAAGGAAATATAATGCGTGTAGGCTTTAATAAGCAATATATATAATATAGTTAGTTAATAATAAATTAATTATAAAGCTATTTAGGAAATATAATAGAAGTAAGGCTTATACTAAGCTAGGTAGGGCTAAGCTAAGCCTAATTAGGATGTTCCTATCCTACTCTTATTCTAATCTATAATATTATTTTTACTAAATAAATAAATAAAGTTTTATAAATATTTTTCTTTTAAGAGATTTATAATAGTAATATTAGTTAATATTTTTACTTTAGGAAAGTTTATATAGTATAGGATATTTATCTTCTTTTATAGTTATTAAACTCTATAATAATTATATTAAAAACTTTTTTTTATAAAGTATTAACAATATTTTTATTATCTAAGCTAATAATAAAAAAAAGTACTTTAATATAATAGTATATTTATTCTATATCTAATATCTAATTAGTAGATAAGTGTTATACTATAGCCCCTTAGACACTAACTATATAAAAATAGGTATACTTGGACATTTATCCTAGGACATATTCTATTATTATAAAAAGTATTTAGAAGATATGCAGGTTTTACTGTTACTAAGTTTATAGGATTAAATAGCAATAGAAAGTATTAGTAGTATATTTAAGTATACTTAATTGCTAAAACCACTAAATAGGAATAAACTTAGTATTATTTAGTAAGTTTAGTAACTAAATATAATTAAATATAGTAAATAGGTTTAAGTATATAGTTGCTACTTATTCCTTTCCTTAGATAGGTTTTCTTATATTTAATATAAGTTTTATTCCTTATTATAAGATCTAAAATAGTAATAACTTAATTCTATTTTGTTATTTTATTTTTACTTGTTTTCCAACTGCTACTTGTATTTTAAAAGAACTAACCTATATACCTTATAGTTGAATTAGCTAATACTATTTACTAGTTTAAATACTAGGGCTGCAACAAAATTATAAAAGAATATAATAGCTTATCTTAATAGAAGTTAAGTTAAATCTTATAATATAAGCTAAGTATAAGTAATAAATATATTAATAAAATTTCCTAACCCTAAAGATAGTTATATAATTAGCTATTTCTTTAGTTTATTATAGTTATTATATTATTAATTAAATATATTATTTTTTATTAATAGGTTTAAATATTTATTAAATTTATTTTTTAAATTTAAAGTAGTTTTTAATCTATTTATAGGTTTTTATATTAATAATCTTATTTATATATTTTTTAAAGTTTAAGTTAATTTATAATAATACTTTACCTTTTATATATATTATTATAAAAGCTATTTTAATTTTATTCTTAATATTAAATATTAATTTAAAATAAAAGTTTAACTAAAATAATTTATTATTAAGCTTATTCTTTTCCTTATAAAAAAAATTAAGTTTTAAAAGTTTAATTCTATTCTCTTTAATAATAGTTAATTAATATATTATATACTTTTACTAGAAGTATTGCCTATTTATTATAAATCTAGTTATATTTATTTTAAAAGTATTTAATATATTATAATTTTAATATTTAAATTAATAAATAATATTAGCTAATTTAATTATAAATATATAAGTTAGTTTTCCTAAAATATAAATAGTAATTAAAAGATAAATAAAAATAAAATAGTAAAATAGAATTAAGTTATAACTATCTTAAATCTTATAATAAAAAATAAAACTTATATTAAATATAAAGAAATTTATTTCAAAAAAAGAATAAAAAGTTTTATATATATAATTTTATTTAATTTACTTAATAATACTTAATTTTTAATTATTTTAAGTTTACTTAATCTAAAGGTTACTTAGTACTTTTAATACTTAAGTATACTTAAGTACTTTAGCTATTTTTTCCTCCTTTTAGTTATTTTTCCTTATAACCTAGTAGGCTATAGTCTCTATCCTATAATAGTTACCTAGTCACGCCTATTATATAAGGTTCTAATAACTATTTTCTTCTAATCTATTATAAGCTTCTATAAAACTATTATATAGTCTTATTATTATATTTATAAGTAAATTATAATACTTTTAAATATTTTTTTATATTAATATATATTTTATTACTAATTAAATAATCTATAGTTTTATCAAAAAGTTTATAAATATTATTAATATTTTAAGTAAATTAATAATAAAAGTATTATATAATATATTAATAATAAAATATTTTTATTTAATATTATTATAAAATTATTATAGAATTAAGTTAAAATTATAAAGAATATATTTTATATATAAATTAATAAAAAGAAAAGAATTATAATACTTTTTAAAATAATACTTAATTTTATAACTATTATATTAAGTTAATAATAATAAATTTAACTTTTAAAGACTACAATAAACTATAATTTATATAATTATAAAAAATCTAAAAATAATTAAAATAAGTATATAAATTTATTATAATATATAAGTATATTAGTAAGGGGCTAAGATAGCTAGTATTTTAATAATATATATTAATAAATTTAATACTCTCTTAAATAGAACTTATAGTATATTAGAGGCTATATTAGTAGATTAGTAAGTGTCTTACAAAGTATTATATATAGATTGTAATAAGTAGTATCTTAATATAATAAATTATCTTTTCTATTTCATATCCTATCTATTTATAAGAACCTTGAATGCAGTAAATCCCTTTTCCGACGAACAGATTGTCGCCTCAACTTCGAGCCCGGCCCCTCAATCGGGAACTCCGCCGTATTCTTAAAGACTATCGTACTATCACACCACAAATTCACTGGACTGACCACTGCGCCCCCACTCGCATCAAACACAGCATCTGCAATGCAAGGGCACGGACTGCCTGTTCCCGGCTCATTGGCGTACGCCAACCGATCCGGCAAGTTCAGGTCAATAACCCATTGCCCGGTATTGCTCGCGTTTGCGTACAGCTGCAGGTTGTTGATGTTCTGCTGGCCGCACCGGTCGTTCAGCGTTGATTGCAGCAGCTTGCCGTCTATGCCTTCGAACTGGATGCGATGGCGGTCGCCCGGGCTGCCTTTTTCGGTCCAAACTCCGCCCGAGATCGCATACACGGGCTTGACGAAGATGTCGCAGACCTCGGTGTTGCACGTAGGGTTGTCTGTGGGGTTACCAGTGGCGGGCAGTGCTAGTGGGCCGGCGTCGATGAGTTGCACGGTTGGGTTGCTGGACAACCAGGCTGCTCACAGGGGTCGGATCAGTCACGGGTGTGTTTTTTGATTGTGGGAAAGAAGAGCTCACTGGAGTCCCATGCCACTACCTTGTTTGTCTGCCACCATAACGCTTTGGTTTGTCCGCATTGATTTCCCACGGAAGGTGTGGTGATCACATAGCGCGCTTTTTGAGAGAGAGGCGTACCATCATCGTTCCAACCCCAGGTGCCGCCGCCACCAAACTCCGTGCAGTAAGAAGAATCGATTCCTGTGTTTGTTGTGCCCGCATCCCTTCCAGAGTTTGCCAAAATGCTATTGAGATTGTTGATACATTCAGTGGGCCCTGGCACGTTCCCGCGGGCACCATTGCGCCACCAGGGGAAGACGGCAGGCAAGTAGAGGACCTGACAGCTGTTGACTGTTTCGTTCATTGCGTTGTGTAGGTCTTCGTGACATATGTTGTTGATCGCTGTATTGCAGTCTGCATTGCACAGAGGTGGCGAGTCTTGGTCAGAACAATAATAGGAGAAGCCATCTTGGCCGTTCGTCGGGCTGATGTTTGCTAGTTGCGCGCCTTGACCTGCGACCAGGTATGTTGCTCTGGTAATTAATAAAACTAAGAACGTGGTAGCTGTTGCATACGGCATTTTTGAAATCCAGGTGCGCGGTGATAGTGTTCGTGTTTAAAGTATAAGACCAGGTTCTTGGTCAATACAGTGTGCTCTGCTGGCAAGAATCTGGACAAGACGATATTATCGATTAGTGACACTGATGCATCAGACCTATCTAGCAAGGCTTGGTAAAGCGATACCAGGCAGTGGAGGTCATTTTTTCAAGTCTCAAGTTGTCCGCTCGCGTTCTAACAGTTCATACTGCCGACTCTACAGCAGCTCTACAACAGCGGCACATTGCTCCATGTCAACCTTGACGGTGAACGAAGGTAGAGAAAGGTCTTTAGTAACCACCTTTAGAAGGCTGATATCATACAGTTGGAAATTGCGCATTAAGGTTCGCGATTCATGTGCTCAACCGATCGCTTAAGAAATTGAAACGATCTTGAGACCGGCTGCTGTAAGCGCACCGATTGAATCGACTCCCTGAAATGCAACACAGAATTCAATCTTCGAAGCCAACAAAAGTCGTGGCGGTGCGTGCTTCATATCAAGGCAGCGGGAATGTCTGTTAGTCCTTGCTTAGCTTTTGCGATCTATCGTTCTATCTTCAGAGATGTGTTTCTATTCAAACTCAACCTAATCTCTCGCTCAAGCTTCACTCAGCCACCCGTTACAGTTATAAGCGCGCTTTTTGTTCTGTTGGACTCATACGAATAGTCTATCTGAGCTTCACGATGAGCTTTCTAACATATCACTTTGCTTTCACTGTTCGAACCCCCTGCCGCTTTCGTTTCATTTTTACCGCATTGTTATATCTCTACGGGGCCGACAGCATAAGCTTGATACAGCTGCGCCCGGCGTTCACCGATATGGAGTGTTCTGTACTTGACTCTGATGAGGCTTATATGAGCTTTAAGTTTAATAAAGCCTCTCCTCACAACAAACATTTGATTTGCTATAATGAGACAGCTCCGTGCCGCTTCTCTTCCTTAATAATCTACAGTCTAGTGTCCATAGAATTAGCTTAAACATGCTCGTACCAGCTACCTTGTGCTCTCCTAACAGTCCTTCGTTACCCTCGAAAGTCAGCACCTAACAGCGCAGGGACGGAGGGTTCGACATGTTCCTCCTTCTTTTCCTAGCCACTCTTTTCCCCTCCGCCGGGGCTACTCCTTTGTGTTCAAAATACTACGGACAACCAGACCTCGCTGATTGCCGTAGTCTTCTTTCCCAGGGCGTACTGAAGAGGTACAGGGACAGCAATCGACAATTTCCGTTTGTTCCCGTTGGCTGGGACTTTAACAATCGTCCTTCTCACATTATCTCGCAAAATTGGTCGCGAAATTTCTGGCGACCATTCCCTGAATTCTACCACGCAGGTACGTTCAAGATCGCGTCAGTCGACGTCTTAAAGAACTTGCCCTGCTAAGACCGGGGGAGGCGAACAGATAACGCTCCGGGATGCCTAATGGCGACTCTGCCAGTGGATAACGGGGACCACACAATATTGCCTGAAACAGTAAGATATTCAGAGCTAAATGCCGTCGCTGGTTGGATCACTAGCTTTTGCGTGGGTGCTTCCGGCATCGCGAACGCTCAGAGCATGGGCGGCATAATGAGTACCGGTTAGTACGGACCTGCCGATGCCTGAGACCACTCGCTGAGCTATACCTGCAGGTGACAATGAGCTCATGCGCTTCATCGTATATGCGCCAGATTCAGAAATGGATAAAGGGGCGAAAGAGGATCAGCGAGATAATTTCATTGTCTCGGTGGCGGGAAAGGACTTCAGCGGCAGCGACAGCGAGGCGACAATTTCCGATGAGAGTCTACCGGATACGAACAATGAATATCAAGACCTTGAAGGCGCAGCCAGTGCCTTGCTGGGCTTGAAAGGTCAGGGAACGAGTACCGGGAACGCGGGTGCGCAAACGGCCTCCATGAGCGCCAGCGGCATACGGAGTTTACCCCAAGGATGGGAGCTTGACTTCACAGACACCACATATTTGCAGGGAGCAGAATACAACAAGCTTGAAAGTTTCTGGATGTCCGTCGAGGATTTGGCAATACAACAGTTCAGTAGCACGGCACCGCCGCGCAACAACCTTGCTTTGAAAGCGGATCATTTGCAGCTCCAATTGTCGTCTTCAGGTCCAATAAGCTGGATGTGGGTGTTGGATTTTGCAGTATCAATGCTGGGTGCAGTGCGAGATCAATTCGGGGTCTTATTCAGTGCGGAGGCTTACAGCAATCACTTCGATCTTCCCCCTCTTTCGGCAAAGTTGAGCATTGTCTAGATCGGCGTTGACGGTCACCTTGGAGCTTTTTGTCTCGAACCGTACTTGATAGCTGTGCCAAAATTCGGGTGCGGCTGCCCAAATTGTAATCATCATCCAAGAGATACTGCATAATGCCACGCGGCGCTTTGAAGGTTTGATTGTTTGATGTCTTCCATGGGTATCTTCCAGCTTCCTTGCGGTTTTATCGTCTACCTCGAATAGGCTCTCACGTACACTGGCCGTGCCTCCCTACGCGGGACGATTTGCGGCGCAACGTCCTATTCAAAGACGTGGCCTTCAAAAGAAGCAGATGGACATCGCTCAAAAGCGCAAAGCGCTCTTGCCGAAGATCCTAGAGAGTGGGTTAGCGGCATTAATAACTTTGAAAGAAACATGCAGCAGTATGCAGGCAGAGATCGCCTCACTCGAGGCAGATCCGACAACGATTGGTCCAGAAAACCATGGTGGCAGTGATCGTCCAAACGAAACGGCGTCAGAGCAGGAGGACCCCAAAAGCCCACAGGGTTTACAAGAACCCGAGCAGCATACAAACCAGCATGTGTATGGGGACTCAGAGCGTCTTGCCGCGGACGATGAAGACACGAGTGATACGATTCGGTCCGGAACGCCTCACCCAGAGGAGGACATCCTTGGTGACACCCTTGCCGATGACTTGGCTTCAGACGTAAGTCAAGAAGTTCAGCCATCCTCGGAAAACCAGATCGACCCTGCACAGCAGCCAGCTCAACACTATATCCGACACCAGGACACAATCTTGCAGCCACAGATCGCAGATCCCCACCACCCTCACCAACACCAGCAACCTGTCGATTCCCAGTCCCTGCCTGATGCCCCCCAAGAGCCTGCACAGCAAGAGTCTGCACCTCAGGGGCTCGCGCCTCAAGAGCTTAGACAGGATCCCAATCACGAGGAATCAAACCTGCCTCTTCATCTAAATGTCCGCCAAATGAATGAACGACGTCAGGCGAGGGCTCAAAGTAATTCACCTCCACCACCCGAGCTCCAGCCAATCATCCAACAGCACATACAAGCACAGCAGCTAATACCACGACAGCGACTGGCTACACATGCCATGCCCGTGCCCATCATCCACAACAACCTCCTTATCCCACGTCAAGACTATCGCTTAAGACAAATTAGGGGGCTGATGCAGAACCATCAAATTGACCTTACTGAGTTGTTTCGGATGCTAGGTTCCACTCATACTGAATTTCGAATATCGTAGCCGTTCCTTCTCGATAACATCTCAATCCCCAGAAGTCCTGCTTGCGTCCTTTGGACAATTCTCGCCACTACATCATCCAAACTTTTCATATCCTTGCTCCTAAGGACCACCTTCCGGCACTGTGAACTCGTCATAAGACCGACAATTCGGCGACGAACAGTCCCAGCCGGGATAAAAGGGATGGAATACAAGCCATCCGTGGCGTTTCCTAATCCATCAACATCGCATTAGTTTCCAAGATCAAGCGCACGGGGTTCAACTCACAGGCCTTGGCTGTCCAAAATAAAGTTAGCACCCCCAATCGTGACATTCCTACTCGGAGCCTGCTGGACCATTATCGTCAACTCCCAGGGCACCGGCACCGTTTCCCCCACTGCTGTGGAAGAATAACAGTATAGATTAGCCTGCAGAGGTGAGTCTGGGCCCAAGTCTGCGTCGCAAGCTGCGACGGGTTAGTCGGGGAGATTGGCTGGCTTGACTGCGATGCGGAAGTGGGAGTCGTCGGGTGTTTTGGGGACTTGGACTTCGGTGACGATGAATGCGTCTTCGGCGCATATGAGTTGTGACAGATGGAGGAGGAGGATCGTTAGAGTAGGAGGGAAAAATCTGAATTGCATGGTTGGGTATAGTGGATGCAGGTGGTCGTTTTTGCGAGGTGTAGTAGCAGTGCGTTCGTTAGAACATTGACAGGAGAGTTGTTTAAGTATTTCAGGAATGGTATATAGATCAGTATTAGAGGCTGCGACCTGAGATATATTTAGGTGTACTGGAAGGTTTCGGATTATAATTGTCTGTTCTTTTAGCCGCACTTGTGAGCCTTGTTTAATTTTGTTACAAAATGACCCGCATAGAGCGCATCAAGTAATCGAGGATGTGGTAGAGTTGGCTACAGAGAGTCAAGTTCCACTGAACATCGGTGTCAACTTCATTTCACCAATCAGGTCAATGTCAATGGTCAGTCGGCTACTAGTGTACGCTTTCTAGGGTCATTTCCGAAGTATGGCGTCTCAAATGGGTACACGCGACCCGTCAAGGTTTGGAGGCTGGAAATAGAACCCGTGTTGCTAAAATTCAACGCTTAAACGTTTTAAGATCTTAAAACTTTCTTCAGGTAAAATGTCTATGGCAAGTGTTAGCATTTAAGAGCACTCTCTTCACGCACGTCGCTGTAGACATTCTTAAGTATTATCAAAGTCTAAAGTGACAACAACCTTGCGATATCCCAGTCTTAGAGCAGTGCTGACTACTAAATCTTTCTCCATGGCTCTGATGCATGAGGTTTAGATCGCAGCAGCTTCATAGGCAGGTGGTGTTGTACAAGCGTCTGCATTGTTTTGATATGACTGCTGCGAAAAGGCTACGGAGAGAAAGCTTGCTGCTCTCTGCCATCGAGCCCGCTGTTGAAATCGGAGGAATATTCCAATTTGGCAAGTTCCTGCCTCTTTCAATAATTCATGGTTCGCGCTCCATCTTGGTGACGAGTTCTTTCAAATCATGCGCTAGGTCTTTTAACATTGATACGAAGAGCATATTCCTGACTCGAGAGCAACAACGGCGTAGACCACCTAGAAGGTTATACTTATGCCCATTTTTTCTAGAAGTTCAAGTACATGATCAAACCGTGTGAGGGTCTCTAGGGTCTTATCGGCCTTAGCGACAAACAAAGACATCTGTTGTAGATCCACAAATACAGAGTCTGAACAAGTGGTCGAGTATTAAAAGCGGAACCAGAGCAGCGCAAGTGTAAGCTGTCGTCGATGTGAAATGCCTCCAAGTCTAGAACAGTGAAAGCATGGCTGGTGATGTACATCTGGCGAGCTTCTTGAGCCACGATGCTGTTGAATGATTGCACAAGCAAGGCATTGCGCGATGGGAACTGTGTCTTTTCAGTCTCCATGGAACTCTGTCTCTCAACACTATGCTCTTTGGTCTTATCAGCTGTTGTCAACATGGAACGAGTGAAATATTTCATGAAAAATGAGGAATTCTTACCTATGCAAGCGGAATTCGATTTGGAGAACATGTGTCCATAGATTTTGTCGCGAAAGGAAACAGGAGGCACGATTGGTCTCAAAGTCCTTGTGAAAGGTACTTTGAAAAGAAGAAACCGAACGAGAGTCGGTCATGAATTTGTAGGCACTAGTTCTTCCTGACTGCGTCAACACCATATTGTTAACCAGGGCAGCCCACAAACGACCAGCTCATCTATATCAACACGCTTCGCTTGTCAGAACAGTAAGGTATTCTATGTCTATTGGTGAACCGAAGCGTTCTTTGTCTGTTAAACAATTCGACAAAAAAGAATGTATTTAGCAGGGACCTTACGGCTATAGTACCCACGCAAATAGTTCCAACTCACTACTATCTAAATACGAGGGAAGCCTTCCCTGTGTGCTGAACAGCGCCCCCTTCACTGCTGCAGTGAGGCAGAGACAGTCTTAAATAGAGTAGTGGCTGACTCCACTTCGAACTTGCACAAACGAGCCAGCTCTCTAAGTGTGGAGTTGCGATGTGGCCTGGTGAGTCAATCAGCATAGAGATCGTGCCACGAACTGATTCTGCAAGGCAAAATTCGATAGACACCAAATTCTCGCATAGCGAGGAATTTGCGACAACAAATAAGGCCCTTTGATCAATACCTCGCTATGCCATCCACAAGAGGAGAGTGCTGCAGATGAAGCACTCGGCTTTAATCCCATGCGTCTGGGCGGGGTCAGATCGTACCAATACCTTAGTATCACGTTGATTTGGGTGAACAACGATGTGTGACCTTGCGCTCAGCCGCATGAAGCGACGGAACTTGAAGAATACTCTACACCTCCAGACGAAGAATGAATAATCTATGTGGCACAAGATTGGGATGCATCCACTACCAACAAGAAGGCTTACACTTCAGAATGGACCCAAGAAGTGCTATCAACGTAGATCACGCAGAGACGAGGTGATATTTACTTACTTCTAGCTCCCACTTAGAAACCGAACCACAAATGCCACGGAACCCTTATCCATTACCAAAGCCACAGCACCCTCGTCCAGATCTCCCTTGCCGCGCTTAAGTACGGAATCCATAGCATCTCCATTATAGCTAACAGCAGCGTCGACATTTTTACCTTGCTTAGTACTTCGCTCTTCCCAGCTCATGCGGCCGTTTTTGCTCGGGGTTCCACTACTTAGTACACGTGGCTAAGGTATTTCTCGTAGTTGGCATAGCCTTAGCATTGGCGCTTACAAGAAGGTTTTCGGGTTTGTGAATATGTCGGTTGGCGTTTGGCATGAGCAAATCACGCGAGGTAGATAAGGCGCGAGTACAGCAATCAGGCAATGTGGATGGATCTGACTGACAATCGCAGTTGTGGGGTAAGGATCATCATGGGACGTGGTGGTACTTTGTGGCTGGATCCTGTGCGAGGCGATGCGGGCTTAGCTAGATAGTTTCGCTGGGATAGTGATGAGCGTTTGACCGTCCCGATCAGATTTGCATGGTTTGACTGAAAGATTGGCATGGCCCCAGAGTGGTTCATCGTCCATGGCAAAGGGTCAAGATAGCTTTCTGTACCTTCGGGTACTCTGTTGTCAATGAATTCAACGCTTGCAGAACGCTCTGCGCCACTCACGGCTGAAGAGCAACTTGGCTTGCTTCTGTGGCTTTCGCAACGGAGCAGATGAAAGGCGTGAGTTCGAGCAATGATTGAACCCATGCCGTGGTCGCATAAGCGACGTTGCTGTCGCTCTCGCGTAGGGTCTACTCTTGTTTCAGCGCGACAGAACTGATTCTTCTGCAATTGATCACCGCAGTAGTCGCACAATGAACGCGGTGCGTGGTCTGCGAGGGCATGTCGCCTCAACAGCCGAGTGTTCCTAAGCAACTATTGATACGATCAAGAAAGGGTTGACGGCTGCTGCCATGGCCACTATAGTATCTTTGGTCCCAACCTGCAAGTCGTGCTTCCCCTTCCACGCTCCAATTTGGGTTTCCTTCTCCCGCGTTTGCCTTCGACATTGCTTGCTTGTAATTTACCTCGGATCAAGTCCTGGGATAGGACGAGCGGCTGCATGTACTTAGCTCTTGAACGCACCCTGCTTCAGCGCTCAACAGGGGTCGATCTAGTGGAGCAGGCCGTGCACATTTGTGGTAAGGCTTGGCCTAGCCCAGCGCCGCCGACTGCACAGCAACCCGAAGAAGCCTGTAGCTTGTATCCCAACTCTTTGAATGTTGCAGCGTCTCTTTCTGTGTCTCACCATTTTCAATACGCTTCCATTCGTGCTTTGGAAGACCTCAAAACAACATACGCTGCGTGAGGGAGTCCTTGTGGAATGGGTAGGTCTGCTCCTCCCAAATTTATTCTTTGTAGTGGCCGAGGCTCTTGAGGGGTCATGCGTGATAGGTTTCAGGTATTGGAGACATCGACGGAGAATCTGGTGGGTATGTGAGTCAGCGTTGACCTCGAGCCTATGCGCTCAGCACTTTTCAAGCGTACTGTATTTGCGTCCTCTTCTGCTGATTCTTGCCTGATTTCCAGGCCGGCCATCTGGCTGCAGGCACGGTCTGGTGTCTCCAGTTCATGCTCGCGAGCCAAGAACAGCCTGACGACGGCTCTGACGCGGTGGTTGGCTACCACTGTCAAGATTGCGCATCAACAAGATGGAGCAGGTGAATGGCGCTCTGCACCGACGCTTGTGGTCCCTTGTTCATCATTCCTGACTCTCGTGGCTTATCTTTCAGCTCCATTGTGACTACGGCACGCGTGAAGAACGTCTTGGGATACGTGGAGGCCTTCTGCTCTTCGTTCTGGTCTTCGCGCTGGGGTGAAGTTCCGGCGTGGCCAGCATCTCAGTCTGCTGTGAGGGTGGCTGTAGCGGCTTGATGAGCGTGTGACGGGACTTTCGGCGGCATTGAGGGTTCATGAGACTCTGTAGGATAGATGTAAAGGATAGGACTTACTCGTGACACAGATCTTGCGAGTCAAATGCCAAGATATGTATCTTGGCATCTCGTCATGGCTTGGCAGACAAAATCGTCTTCCGGCGTCTCTTTACGTCCTACTTGAGAAACAATGAAGTCAACGAAAAGAGAACACTGGTACTACGAGCCTTCCGTTTGCGTCACTACACCTCTATATCACCAAGATTTGGTGTTACCTCTCTAGTTCCTTCCATCCTACCTTACTCTTCTTGCCCTCAATCAACCGGCCAAGTCTTGGCACTTTGCCCCGCGACCGCTGACTCATCTATTTATGTCCGAAGTTTACTTCACTTCCGCGTCTGGAGGTGAATTTCCCCTTTACCATTTCACCTCTCTTCTCACTCTCAATTCTTCCTTCCACATGCCACGATCATCGTCTTCAGCTCACGCCGCATCTGTCGCTGAGTATCCAGCTGGGACGGACGGTCTGAAAGAATCGTCACGCAAACGCGCCCGCTGTGACTCTCCGTCATCTCCATTGCCCCACCACGAGTCTCAAAATTTGATCCTTCCTGACCTGACTTCAATTGGACATTCTCCAAATCGGACTCCTGACCCACTGCTACCTAGCGACTCCGAGCATTCCGTGGCATCGTCCGATTCTTCGGTAGGTGTCTGACATGCAAGCTTCAGCAATTCCAGCTAAGAAATCATAGTCGTCGTGGGGTGAAGTCATCGTCCCCCAGACTATAGAGGAATTTTTCGGGCAGAGCAAGCACTCTTCGGCAGCTGAGACTACTGCATCATCAAAGGAGCACTCGCATGACGAAAGCGCTAACGAGCAAGCATCGGAACGCGAAGACTCACAAGGCGAGACATCACACGGTCCACCATTTTACGTCGATCCAAGCACTATGACGACCCTTCAGGTTCGCGAAGCCGTCAAGCGTAGCGATTACAACATCAATGATTACGATGCAGCACGCAGGATAGGGGCTGGTGTAGTGACCAAGGCCAACGGAATCGTAGATAAGAGAAGGATCTCCGACTTCTCACCACTAGCTTCGAAGGTCAAAGAAACAGTCGAGGAGAATAGTAACGTCAACGAAAAGACCTTCATTGTAGAGCTACACTACGCACTGCTGAGCAAGACGCCTGAGCGCAAAGTTCCAAAGGCAAGTAGCGCTACACCGTCTCCTGCCTCCTTTGATGCGTTCGATCGCCGATATGCGTCTCCCATTCGTTTTGGAGCGCCGATCAGCTGACGAATTTAATGTCCAGGATCAAGATCTGACAGAAGAGGAGTTGATGGATGCGCACAACTGGATTGAAGCGGAGTGGAAAAAGGACTTCCTCAAGGCCTTATGGGACATTGATTATCTCTCTGAGGCCAAGCCTAAGATTACCACTGGCAATGAATGGTGGGACAAGATTATCGCAACCTTTCCCAGAGTCAAAGATTCCAGGCCCGACATTTCCTGGGGATACCATGCCGGCGCATTCACAAAGACGCAGAAAGACACTCTGAATGCGCTTGGTTGCCGTTTCACGACCCCCGAAGTCTACCTCCAGTTCCTGGCTTGGGAAGCCAAATGCCTCAATGCGCCAATCGAAGATGCAGAGAATCAGGCACTTGGCGGCGGCTCCACCAAAGTCAATGCGCGTCGTCGCCTGGGGAAAGCTGCCGACCGTGTTCGTACTGCCAAAGCCATTGCCGCCAAGAAGAATGTGCCTCCAGTGGAGTATCCACGCGCGGATCCTGTAAGTACTCACAGCGCACAATGGCTCCTTAGGCAGGCGAACAACTCACACGATTGGCAGGACTCAATCGCCTTCTCTCTCGCCGTCGCCACTCAAAGCTGTAACCTCTTTGTCCATTGGTGTGAAGAAGTGAACCCTGTGTATGAAAAATGGCATATGACTTTCCTTCGAGACTATAGCTTCCACCAGACCGATCGGATCGCACTTCTTCATCATAACCTCGATAATATAATGGATTGGGGTGTCGGGGCACGCAAGCGCAAGATCCTTGAGGACTTGGACCTCATCTTGGACAACGAGCCGCCGATCAGTGACATCGTGCTATCCCCTGCGAAGAAGCAGCCGCCCGCAAAGAAACAGAAGACGCACGATGATAGGGTGGAGGGAGGGGATGGAGCGGCGGCATTGGTATAGTGAAGGTGAGCATTGCATATGGAAGGCGACGATTGCCACTGTCGGCCTGCCAAACCGCCAAATTTGGCCCATATAACTCGTGTTGCTAATGTCATTAGCACGACAACTATTGTTGACTGTGGCAATGCGCCATAGGTCCATCCTAATTCGCCGGCACGAACCGGCTGAAGATGCATGTATCATAATTCCAGCATAGCGAGGCAGCAATCAAGTGCTGACGCTGCCTATCATTATACACCTTCTTTGTGCCTCTTGCTGAATTGCGCAAAACCCGACTTATCATAGATGCACTTCAGATTAATAGAAGCAGGCCCCTAACGCGATGACAGCGACCAACATTTGCCGAAAGCAGACGATCGAGGGAACATTACTGCCTCTTAAGGCCTACCGCATGCTCTCTTGTTAGCCTCTCTCTGGACTCTTGTCCCAAGCAGCCTGCTAATTAACTAGCAAGTACGCCGACAGCAGCACCTGGTACTGTCGAGTTGTGTTCAAGTCACTGGTGGGTTATGCTGCAATTTGCCGGATAGGTTAATGAAAGCAAAGCGTTAGCACGTATGCGCTTATCATGCGAGACATAAACACCAACGTTTCGACATTCTTGCACCCAAAAACTAACAGCGTTAACAATTGGAGAGTCTCCTGTTGGAACTTGAGACTGCGGGGTTGGTATATTGTCTGGTTTGGTCTTTTGTGGCGGAATCTTTTATTGGCCGTTCAATGAGGAGGTCACCATAAATGATCGGACATCCGCCCTCTGTATTGATAGAACGTCCAGCGGAGAACTCACTGATAGCCCGAGATAGAGCTACCGATTACTGTAGCCAGCTTTCTCTTCGCCTTCACACAATGCTTCCTTCCAGCATATACCCAACCGGTCGCAAATTCCACATCATCACCCAAGTAAGTACCGTCACTTTTCTCAGTACTACTCCTGGCCGCCCATACTAAGTCTCAGCCCCAACCCATCACCGTTAGCGTCCCCTGAACTGATATCTTACAAAATCATCGGCGGATTTACGTTCTACCCCCTCAGGGACTACAGATACTTTATCGACCACCAACTCGACGTCATCAAGACCGGCATCAGGAACTACGGGCGCGACACAGCCACCCGCGACGACGATTACACCGAAAGCTCCACCGTCGGATTCTCAAATCTCAAATTCTGGGTTGGAGGGTGCGCAGCATGGGCTCGGCAACTCATAAGAGCGCACTCATGCAACTTGCTGTAAATTGATGGACTTATTATATTGTAGAGGCCGTTAGTAAGTAAGACCACTGGGGCAAAAGAGGGGAAGTCCAAGGTATTCCACCCCGCGAGAGGATGAGCGCACAGAACACCCTCCAAGCCTCGGACGTGCAACGTGACCGGGGATATCCGCAACAATCATGCATAAGATCGACATTCCAGGAACTGAACCGAGATTGCAGAAATTTAACCGAGATCGACTGCCAAACATGCCCGAAAAGTCGATGCAGGGTCAATGGACGGCGTCCTGTCATTCCTCGGCATTGTCTCTGAGTGGAAGGAATGGTGTGCATGATTAGTGGAGTAGCGGACTCACCCCATGGAAATGCTCGGAGACGAGCATCTACGAGCATTGAGCGAGGTGGCCTGACTTTAAGGGTATAAAGAAGGGTACATTACGGGAGTGTTATACTTATCAGAAACTTTGGTAATCCTTTCTTCCATCTTAGCAGATCAGTGCCGCAACTTCCATCATGTCTGTTCTACCGGAGGGTCCAATCTGGTTCCAACATGAGTCGTTGAAGCGTCCAGGCTATGATCCTGCTGACCCCGATCAGTTCTACAATTTCATGCTCGTAGAAGTCGTAGTCAACAAGGAGACAGCGCACAAACAAGGCATCATGGGATGGCAGTATCATCTTCGAACAAAAGAGCACATTGTAGGCTATGAGCCTTACGATTGTAAGGGAATCGATCTTACTCGGCACCCCAGAAGTGACTAACAAGACTTTCTTCGTACTCTGGATCCTGGCTCGCCCAACACTCAGGTCAACTATAAAAGGTGGCAATACATGTCCGTTATGTACGGCCCAGAAGCGAAGACCCTCACCAAAAGAATCAAGATGACAAGCGCCGTCAGCAGGGGTGATATGATCGGAAAGGGTGCTAAGGCTCCACGAGTCTTTCTCGTTCCAGTCCCAATGCCGAACTCTGCGGAACAATATGTGTGGTTCGATCTTACTTTTCCCTTGCGTGCGATTTATCTGCCTCGCCAGCATCAAGTCGACGGTGGAGCGAACAAGGAGTGGTGCATTTTTCAGCACCTCTCTTTCCGCTTGCGCTCACTCGGCCTTAACGCCTATGTGAAGTCTGGCGAGAAGGCTATCACCGCCGAGGAGCGGAACAACTTCACTGTAAGCATGGACAACGGGAAGTACTCCTCTGGTGATGATTTCCTCCTCAAAAAGATTGAGACTCTGTCGGACCCACAAGGCAACAACAAGGTAGTTTCGGCTGTGGAAGGGTTAATTCCCAAGAGTCCGGCCGCCAACTCGACGAAATCAGTGTCGGAGCTGAAAGATATGCGAACGAAAGCAGATCCATCACTCCGCCAGGAGCTCGAAAAGAAAATGGCCGAGCTGTGCGAGGTAACCCGGTTCACTAGAAACAACGCGAATAAAGCTTGGGCGGCAAAGTATGGAGAACTTCAGGCGGCACTCAAGGTCTACGAAGACCGCCAAGATGAAGAAATTGAAAAGACGAGACAAGAGTTGCAGGCAGTCGCTAAATCATTCGGAGTAAAGGGTGGTGACGTGTCATATGTCAACATCATGACCGCGCTGGACCGTAAAGCAAAGGTTGTCAAAGCGAAAATCCGAGATTTTGATGCACAGCCGCATGAACCACCGTTAAAGGAGGAAGAGGAAAAAGCGTTGCAAGAGAAGAACAAGACGTTCGACGATACCATGACCAAGACTCGACAGATCGACCGCGAGCTACAAGATGCGCGGAAGAATCGTTTGAAGATGAACACATACAACCGGCAGGCAGTCACGCTGAATCGGGATGAGCAGCTCGGCTGGGGCATTCGGAAAGGGTGGATCGCACGATTCGACCCAGCTCTGATCTACCACAGCACCATGATCCCGCGCGGCTGGCTCTTGGACGAATACCAATCGCCGTACAGCGGCGTCGACATCTTCGACGAGAAATCCATCGACGTGACCTTCGAGCAGCAAAAAGACGAAGAAATCATCACGATGAATGAAGACCGTGCCACCGATCTGGCCGAAATGCTCAGCAAGGAGTGGGGCGCGCGTCTGACCTACGATGATACGCCCATCGAGCCCGATTTCGTCTGGGGGGTGGTGAATTCCATCGCGCAGATTGGTTTGGGTTTGATACCGGGGTGGGGCCCTTTGCTTGTGTACGGGGAGACGGTGCTGTATAATCTGATTTTTACGGATAGTTTTAGTAAGATTGCTAGTGGTGATGGCGAGCAGATCAAGGAGATATCGGCGGCGAGTTTGACGCTGCTTGTCGAGAGTAGAGGCCATCTTAGTAGTGTGGTAAGATCGAGGCAGGCGAGTGATGTTCAGGCTTTGATTATACAGGGCGTCAGATGAGAAATGCAGAGGAAGGTTACTGTTGAAAGCAAGGTTTTCAAGTCGGCAACAAGGGTAAGTTGAATCATTTCGAAGCGTAGTCTTGTCGATGCCAGCGGTCATTATATTCATTCGTATCTGACAATTCAATATCTTGAACATCCACATCCTGGAGTACGTTTATGTTTAGTTTCAGTATAGTAAGTAGGCACCTAGGGGACCCTGTGCTTAACTATAGTTGAAGCTGGATCGCAATGCTCTTCTCCAAGTTGGTTGACAGGTTTCTAGAATTTAGAACGCATGTTTGATCAGTAGCGGATCTTCAATACTTTATGGACACAGCAGTACTGTTACTCGCTCATTATTTGACAGTGATGCAGGTCTTGTTCTCAATGCTATTTTCAGCAAGCGACTTGAATATTCTCCAAGAATAGTGGTAAAAATGCGCTTAAGCGCCAAACTTAGAGATGCACCTCGCGCTATGCAACAGGTACGAGATCGTGCAGAATAACCATTAGAGCCTATGATCTCTTCTCGCCTGGTTGGAGAATGGGTCAAGATATTGCCCTGTCTTAACGAAGGCTGTGCCGTGAGACATTACCTTAGTAGAATATCAGCACGCGCCCCGCATCTCACCATCTTTGAAGAGATTTTCACATCTTTTCTTTTGAACAGAAGGACTTTGGAGCACCATAGAAGATGCTATTCCTAGGAATTATAGCTTTGTTGTTGACCTTCGCACACATCGCCACAACCTTCCCCGCAACTTCCATCACTAATACCACGCTTAAACAAAGTAGCACCGCAGCATTGTAAGCCTGGCAAAGAAATTAACAGCCCGCACTAACAGGCATTAACGTAGAAATTTATCACAACTATTCCCAGTCCCAGGCACAGACCTAGAAGTAGAGATAAGATATCTAGAAACTTCATATCCAGAAAACACAGCCAACATGGCGGCCCTCCTTGACCAATTCTACCACGAGCTCGAACAACATAGCGGCGGAGGTCAAGTAGAAATTGCGGAATTCGCTCACAGAGGCGATCTTCAAGTCGCTCTCAGGCCCGTAGTTGGTACTAGACTAACTTATTCCGAGGCCTCAGAAGCCATTTACGAGCTGAGGTACCAGGTGCTTCTGATGAGTGTGGCAAGGAGTTTTGAGTTTCTTATCCGCGCTGGTGTTGGCCCGCTGGTGGCTGTGGGGAATATAGATAATGATTATGATCGATGATAATTAATATTTGGAGATACAAAACAAAAGCTCAATTTGACAACCCTATTGCCAGTCCCTAGGACATATCTCAAGATTAGGATTCATTTCGAAGAACATCGTTATCAAGTATCTACCGCTAACACCGCCTAACTCATTCAAACGTCTGCGGGCGATAAGCTCGCCGCATTCGGCGCAAAAGAGTTAGAGTACTCCAAGCTAGTCTCTAACCCTCCTCGAATTCATCAAATACCTTGGAGGTCTCTAGTCATAGGGAATTTGAGGGACGTCGTACTTGATAGATAGATAACAACGGACCACCTTCACTTCAACCTCATTAATATCGAAAAATTCCTTGCAGATGGCATAATAACTAGAAATATAACGAGAAATTACAAGGCTCAACCAAGTATCTTGAACAACATTGCAAAGTATAACAAGCTTGCGTTCTCTACATTAACATCGACTGGCGCACAGTCTTGCTATCTAGCTATCCACGTATCAACGACCACCATTTCCAACACCCTGTCTCTTCAGCTTAAAGCTGGGGACAGATGTTATATTGATACTAATTGTAGTTACACACAAGTATCTTTGAAGCGTTCCCACTATAATAGTGGCCCTAACTTCTATTGGTAGTTTGTAGCTTCTAATGTTCAAAGCTCTTCGGAACTGCGGACATTCTTAAGGAATTTTGTCAGTGAAGGAGTAAGAAAATCTTCTGCACACTTTCATCGCTTCAGGCATCCACCACCCACGCTGTGCCCTCCCGCCTTTGAGTCTTGAATCCGCCGACCTCACTCAATATCGGCATACCCAGTGGTGCCGGTTTCATGAAGGCTCAAAGCAAGTCAGCACTCAAAATTATAAAGAAATTGTTCATCCTTGTGAAGGGGACGGTAACATAATTGCGTCTCTGCCGGCTACTACATGCAGAGTCGGTCCGCGAGTCCCTCTCCGCGCTAACAATTGCTTGAATGTATTAGCGACTCTCTTAAGCATAGCCACCTTTATAGACTATCCAGTTTTCGTCAAGTATTCCACCCTTTCGTAGAAGATCTGCTCAACCTCGATGATAATCGCCTATCCCTCAGCCTTCCATCAACTTCTCCCTCCTCTCATTTCAGACATAGATAGGATCGCCACTGACCTCTCCTTTCACTTATCCTTCTTTCACCCTTTCCCTCACCCTCGTACGACCCCTTCTGCCTCGCTAATTCAGCTTCAATGTCAGTTGTAGTGCACGCGAGAGCGCCTTCTACGATCCTAAACTAGGAGAATATATACGCTATGCGATTTGCGCGATGTAAAAGGCTTGCGAGTGTCGATCCCAGTAGACTTTTGCCTTCTTTCAAGATCTTTCGGAAAGTCAGAGATGTTGTGGGAATACTATAGGTGATGTACTCACGTTGTGGCTTGCAGCGGGCTGGCCAGCTAAACATCGGAAGTAAGAAGGCGGGTCGGCGGAAAGTTGAAGAAGGTGCCTGCATAAGATTCAAGATTGCCAAAACAGACGGGCGCTATTTAGGACTTTTGTAGGGAAGTAGTCAACGTCTGTGCAGCTATGCTAAGCGGTGTCTGCGTGCTAAACCTACGGTGGCGACTAGCTGTGCTAAGAGGTCAGCACACTCTAAAGTCGATAATATACTAATATTCAAAATAGAGGAATGCACGCCGATAGCAACGTGCTATTTGTAGAATCAAAAGTCTAAGAAGTTGAGAATCAAAGGTCAGGTTGAAGATCGAGAGCAGAAGGGCGACAATGGTGCGGGGTAGTGTTCTAATCGTGTCCGCCAAATAGAGCTTAGTGCCACAAACGACATACACACTACAATGCTAGGCTTTCCCACCTTTTATCTCTTATTGCCTATATATTTCTTTGCTTCATTAGTCGAACAGACTCTTAGTCCTATAAACCTATGACCTTATAACATCCGATATAAATACTGCTTGAACAAGAGGTTCAAATGATTCAAGTAGCGTAAGACGAGTATCTTCCCTATAAGAGTCGAGAAGTGTCACAGTAATCGTTAGCCCAAGGTCATAGGTCCATTCTTCTTTTATGCGTCACTATTATTGTAAGAGCTTATCCCTGCCAATTCCTTAACGTCCCGTCTTAGACCCTACTGTATTTTTATTATAGCGGCGAGAAGAACGGGGAGTAATAACTAAGCCTTAGAACGATAAGTGTTATTTGGCTCGTATCAACCTTCAAGAATCTCGACCTCCGCTAGTGATGCAGCAGATTTCGTTGTCTGTATTGTCTCTACGCGTGGCCGCTAGCAGAAGTCCCCTTAGTCACCAGATTTCTCAAGGAAAAATCAAGTATGACAGTGGTGCCCCTTAAGACGTACTTAACCCGAGTCGCTCGTAACTAAAACACAGCCTAATTCGACGCAGATCGTCGGTAGCTTTCATTAAGCCTGTTGGTACGATGTGGTCATCGATTACTCAAGTCTTGCGGGCGGGTTAAGTTTTGTATATTGGGGAAACGCCGTAAAGTACGTTAGCGATATTATCAAATTGATATCATAATACTGTTTTGGTACGCTAAGCACATCTTAGTGTTTGAAGACTACGCTAATATCTCAAAACAGTATACGAGCTTTGTCACAAAGCATAGTTCTACGCTTAGCATAAGTAGAGGTATGCGGATCTGGAGCTTAGACACTCTAGACCTCAACCGGAGCAGACGCCTCGTCTAATCTCTTTGACAAATTATTCTCTGACTCTGTTTTGCACGATGTACTGGCAGGAACAATCTTTGAAGTTGCAAATTCTAGTTACTCTAGTGGGCATGTTAGGGAACATTCTCGTTTTGCGGACTGCAAAGCATCCACGACCGGGAAATACAATACGCCTTGGCGGATCGCCTCGTACAAAATTGTAATGCAATCTCCAATCGTAATCGAACCAGCTGGATACTTTGCCAGTGGCATCGCCTCTAAAGATCCCGGACAGCGTGCATATAGTATTCCCTTATGCAGAAAAGGAACGTTTAGGTCATTACGGACGAAGGAGTATATTCGACTTGCCGCTAAACCTAGGAACGGAGCGGCAGTTCCGTGATCTAGATACTCCGCCAGTATCACCTCGTATACGTTATAGAGTACTTTTGCTGCCTTCTTGGTCCAGCTTAATAGACTTGCAATTACAGGAAAATTGCAATCTTCTTTGAGAAATGGCACAATCGAGCTTTGAAGAGAGGAGGTAACGGAAGCGAATCGTTCGTATACGTCGAACCCTGCTATATTATTCAAAGCTTTGATCAGTGCAGGCCAAAGAATGGGTAGTAGCTCTAAGGCAACTAGTATGGATCCAAGGACATCAAATAGTAAAGAAGTCAAAAGTGCCTTCACCTGCGATAAAAACAGACAATTGAAAGCCCGAATATCGAGCGCCTAGCATACAACTAAAAGGTGCGCCGCGGACAGTTTAAAAAGGATATTAGCTGTAGTGTTGGTATAACGGGTCGAGATCAACGCAAGCGAATTCAATGCTTAATTACCCATTTCTACAGTCTAGACATGTAAGCTAACAAGGTTTGTAAGAAAGCCTAATTCGGAGAGAAGAGACGCCGCTAGTATGTCGACACCTTTTATTAGAAATGACTAAGATAGTGGATTTATAGTCAAATTAGGTAGTAGACCATTATTTATCGCTAAATTTATGGTTTCCGTATATTGAGCGAACAATAGCCGACCGACGGATTGAAGTCCCTGACGCGTCTTCTCCATTGCGGATGTTATGACTTTTGCTTGGAAATCACCCCCGTGGAGTGACGATCCAGCCTGATCAACTAGCGGATTA